GAGAGAGAGAGAGAGAGAGAGAGAGAGAGAGAGAGAGAGAGAGGGAGGGGGAGAGAGAGGGAGAGAGAGATTTGCCCATAATTACACATGTACAAAATCATAGAGCTGGGAGAATCCTCAAAGGCCATCTGGTCCAACCTCTTCATTTTAGAAATGAGGAAATTGTAGACATCTTAAACTCAATATGTCCAAAAGGGAACTCATTATCTTTATCCCCTTTGATACTCTCTCCAAGGATATGACTGGCTTAATTAAAGTCACACAGAGAGTAAGCATCTAGGGCACGATCTGAACCCAGATCCTATAAGATCCGCTTGGGTCATCTCTCCATCTTGGCTTTTGGCTTCTACTGACCTTTGGGTCATTGTCCCAACTAATTCCAACTAGCTCTCAGTCTTCTCCACGTAATCTCCTGCCACTATGTGTGGAGATGTCAACATCTGTGTTGACAAGCCCTCTGACATTCTGTCCCCAACAACCTGTTCCATTGAACTCCATCTAAGTTTGCTGAGCCTCCTTGGAGAAGACTGCAAAATGGGACTCACTTGATGTACTTCCTCATGTGGATTCTCATTTTTATTATTATTATTGTCGTTGTTTAAATCAGTAATGTTCCTCTTCTGTCCCCTCCTCCCCCTACTTTTTCAGATTGAACCTGGGATTTCATTGGTACAGGGAATTCCTAGTAAGGAAATTGTCTCTACTAATACAGATTAGGACCTGCTCAGCAACCCAATAATCTTGGAGAGCTTCCTGGAAGATTAAGAGGGTGAGAAATTTGCCCAGGGTCACACAGCCAGGATGTTTCAGAAGCAAAACTTGAACCCGGGTCCTTCTGCTCTGAGGTCAGCTCTCCACCCCCCAAGCCACTGGACCTCTCATTCTATCTTTATCCTCTTTGTATCTCATTCCCACAGCGACTGCTCTAAAGCCAGGCTGTCAACACACCCACACACCATCTCACTCCACTGAGGGTAATGGAGAACATCCAATAGGATTTTCCTCCTCTGTCCCTCGGATGGCATCAGCATCCTCTTTCCTCCTGAATGCCAGTCACCAGAGATGGGTTTTTCCCATTACCTACTAGATCTCACCCTTTATTTCCCATCTTCTCCCCACTTCCCTCCCACCCTTCCCAGATCAGTCACCGCTGCCTTTCTCTCATGCCTCTTCACTGTCTCCCTTGCCACTGGCTTTTTCCTATCTACCTACAAACACACCCAGATCTTACTAATCCTTTTTAAAAAAGGCTTCCTTTGGCCTTTATATGTCAGCCAGCTACCATTCTGTCTTCTTTCCTCTCTGCCACTCCCGAGCTTCTCAAAAATTTGCAATCTGTTTCATCACTGTGTGTCAGTCCCTTGACATCCGATTTTTATCCTCCATTCACTAGAGAAACTCATGTGAAGTCATGTACAGATTCATGAATGGTAGCATGGCACGTTGGGAAACCTACCAGACTTGGAGACAGAGTACCTGGGTTCGAATACCAGGTAGCTGTGTAGCTTGGGCAAGTCACAACTTTTCTGGGTCCCATTTCCTGGACTATACAATGAGAGGGGTCTAGACTAGATGCCTGGTCTCACACAATGAGGTGGCCTGACTCTGCAAGGGCTAACCTCTCTACCTGCTCATTCTATCCCTTCTCCTCCAACAGATCGCCCCCACCCTATCATCCCCCACTTTCACTTTCATCCTCTCCCTGTCTACTGGCTCATTCCCTACTGCCTACAAACATGCCCACGTCTCCCCGATCCTGAAAAAAAACCCTCGTTTGATTCTTCCATCCCCACTATCACCTTCCATGGGGAAGGCTTCCTGTAGAAGGTGGGATTTTAGTTGGGACTTAAAGGAAACTCAGTAGTCAGAGCGTTCCAGGAATGGCAGAAGGCCCAGAGAAAACGCCCAAAGCCAAGACATGGAGCGTCTTGTTTGTTTGTGGACCAGCCAGGAGGCTGGGGTCGCTGGGCCAGAGCACGTGTTGGGGAGTGAGGTAGGAAGACTGGAGAGGGAGGAGAGGGCAGGAGTCGTCTATGCCAACTCTAAGCCAATGGTTTAGGAGACAACGACAAACGTGAGGAGGAAGGGGGATGGGGCTTCAGCAGAGACCCGAACTCACCATCTGGTCGGCCAAGAGAAGGACGGTCTTGAGGCTGAACTTGCGGGAGCAGAAATTGAAAAGGTCTTCCAGGCTGGGGCCCAGCAGCTCCATCACCATGACATTGTAGTCTCCCTCCGCGCCACACCATTTGATAGAGGGGATCCCCACTGCGAGGGGCAGAGGGAGAAGGGCGTCGATCCAAGGTCACTGCCAATGGGAGCCCCAACTCTCCCCGCCAAGCCCAGCCCCTGCCATCAGGGTAGTCGCAAGCCCTGAGACACAGACCTGGGCATCCCCTTTACCAAGGCCTTCTAGACTTACACGACACCCTCTTCCCAAGGACGCTGGCGGGGAGGAAGGCGCAGAGGAGCCGGTAACTGGCCCAGGGTCACACAAGGGCCAGGCCCGTCTCCCCTTCACTGTGGCGCCTCCACCACCTTCCAGCAGAGGCCCCGTGTCTGCTCCAGGGCCCACTCACCTCCTCCCTGCATCATCTTGTAGAACTTGCTCTCGATGTGCAGCTGGGGGTGCTTCGTTTTCACACATTCCAGCTTAATAGCCACCTCCTCCCCGGAAGCGATGTTGGCACCTGAAAAGGGAAGGAAGGCAGGATACGGTCAGAAGGAGAGCATGGGACCATAGCTTTGGAACAGAAGTGGGAGGGACCCTAGAACAGGGAATGTCAGAGCTGAGAGGGGCCTTAGAACAGGGAATGGCAGAGATGGGAAGGACCCTAGAACAGGGAATGTCAGAGCAGGGAGGGGCCTTAAACAGATGATGTCAGAACTGGGACAGGCCTTAGAACAAGGAATGGCAGAGCACAGAATATTAGAGCTGGAAAGGGATTCTAGAGAGCATCTGGTCCAAAGCAGTCATTTTTACTGAGGTGAAGGGACTTAGGGGGACATTTCTGCAGCGTTTCAAAGACTGGAAATATTATGTTATCTGATCCTCACAATAATACCGGGAGATGCAATATCTTGCCCAGAGTTGCAGAGCTAGTCAGTGCCTGAGACTGGATTTGAACTCAGGCCTTCCCAACTCTAGGTCCAGAACTCTAATGCTCCACGTCATCTAAGCTACCCAAGGTTATATAGTTGGCATGTGGCAGAGCCAGGATTGGAACCCAGGTCCTCTGACTCCAGAAATCTAGGGCGCTTCCTACCACACCACCCTGTCACCTCCATTGTCTTTCCCCCTCCAACCCCTCCTTCACAACCATTGCCAGCCAGTGGTGCCATGGTGCACCAAGCACTGGTCCTGGAGTCAAGAAGACCTGAGTTCAAATGCAGCCTCAGACAGACTAGCTACAAAGTCATTATCTCCCTACCTAATTGTAAGCTCCATGAGGGAAGGGGTTCCATTTCATCGAAACAATCGTACCTCACACTGCACTACATCACAAACTGAGAATTATGTGGGCAAAGCAAAGTAAAAGACGCCATCACAGGAGAGGGAAAAACAAGACGCTCCGCATCAGGTAGTGCAATCTGGGGATACCCAGTGGATGGCCCCTGTGCACCACTGGGACCCACAGGATGACAAAGAACTCAAGGAAGGCCCCAGCACACTGGGTGGACCTTCTGTGGCCGCCTCATGGATGAAATCCTAGACCCACTGGAGCATCTGAGTACCTCTCCCAGTCCCTAACCCAGTGCTTGGCACACAGCAGGTGCTTAATAAATGCTTGCAAGATGAATGGCTAGGGAATGTAAAACTGGGTCTAACTTTCCAGCTTTGTCCTCATTTGCTCCCCACCCAAGTTCATGTCATCTATTTGTTTAGTAGAGGCCAAGTGAACTTTACCCCACACACTGCCATGATAACACAAAAGCCAAAGGAACTACTCCCTCTTCCTCCCATTCAGCCTTGGCCTCTCCTTCTATCATCTCTCCAGGTATCTGTCCAATCGCACTTACCTCCACCACACCTACTCTCCATCACCAAAGGGTGGTTGGTCCATTTCCACCAAACCACTCATTGCCATTCATTCATTCATTCATTCATCAAATGTTTATTAAACACTTCCTAGGCTCTGAGCACTCTCCCAAATGTCCTAGGGGTGATACCATTCCCATTCACACGTAGCTGATCTCACAGTGAGGAAGAGCGAAAGGTAGTCTTCGCAGAGCGGCCAGAACATTGGACATGGGGTCCAAGGGCAGGGTTCAAATTCTGACCCTGTTTCTTATTATCTGTATGATCTTGGGCTAGTCATGTTCCCTTGGTACCTTAGCTCCCTCCTCTGTAAAATGAGGACTCGTGAGGTCTCTGAGCTCTAGATGGATGGTGACCCTAATCCAAAGGGCTTAGTCTCCGTCTGCTGGCTGTGAAGTGGCTTCAGCTCCAGCAGACAAGCTCAAACATGGGTCTTCCTCATAGGGAATACATCCCTGGGGTGAGAAGTATGTAGGGTCCTCTTCCACCTGAATCCTACTCCCAAAGCCTCATCTGGAGCCATAGCAGGTAACTACCCCTCAACAAAGGCCCAGCCCTGGGCCAGGGCTTGGGAAGCACTAAGCTTCCTAGGGACCTCGGGCTGGGTGTTAGACCACAGAGGCAGATTTCAGACCGATGTCTGGAATCTCTTCCTGAGACTGAGAGCCATCCCAACGTAGAGTGGGATGCCCTGGGAGGTGACCCCCACCCCCACCCCAGGTCATCAAGCAGAAGCCCAGATGGCCTCAGAGGTTCTTTCAAATTCTACAATTCTCTGGCTCCTTGGAACAGATCCACGGGACCTCGCCTTTGAGCCTCAGGGTTTCTCAGCCTTACTAATTTCTGACTTTCCCACCTCAGGCCCTGAACCTTGGTTCCCTGGGGTCAGAGACCTTATACACCTGATCCCAGATTACCCATCTGCCTTCGGCCCTCCCTGCTGCCACTAACTCTTGGTCCTTAATTCCGGCACCAACTTGTCCTTCTCCTCTCTGCTCCCATACATTCCAGGGCACGGTAGTGTGCCATCTCTAGGGTTTAGGACCACACACAGTTAAAACATAAAGAAAAAGCTTTTGGGAAAGCAAGAATACCTCCAGAAGAGACACACGAGGGAGTGCGTGGAAGGAGGAGGCAACGGGGTAGACAATCGCGTACACTGCTAGATGTAATTGATGTGTCGTTCCCCCATCCTGCTTTTAAATTTTCATTATCTATCTATCCATCCATCCATCCATCTATCTATCCATCTACCTTTCTATCTATCCACCTATCCATCCATCTCTATCTATCCATCCATCTATCCTTCTATCTATCCATCCTTCTATCCATTCATCCATCTATCCATTCATCTATCCATCCATCCATCCATCCATCCATCCATCTATCCATCTATCTATCTACCTATCTATCTATCTATCTATCTTTCTATCTATCCATCTATCCATTTATCTATCTACCTATCATCTATCCATCTATCTTTCCATCTATCCATCCATCCATCTATCTATCCATCTATCCATCT